CGTATGACGCAAAGTAAGGAAAAGCATAAAAGAGCACACGTTTAGGATTTCAGATCTAACTTGAAGTTGCACATATGTAATTTGGCCCCGGTGTACCAAATAGGTGACAATTTTTAAAAATGTGGCAGATATTAATCTAAACTTAGACCCAACCAGATTGACAGAGGAAGTGAGGAGATTATGCTCAATTCAGAGCTGTTTGGACTTACGAACAACACTTCAATTAAGTGGCTGATGTTGAGTTAATCTGCTGGGTAAGAAAGAAGAGTTTTCTTCTTTTCCAAACCTATGCAGTGGGCCGGATATAAGTCTTTGCCGACGGTTGTGGCCCCAAGGGCCTTACATTTGTTACCATAATCTGACATGAATTAAACCAAAAATGTGGCTTTAATATTAAATATCACAGTAAATAAAATAAATAATGTGATGCTAGTTTTCCACAGTTCAGACAGACAGCATTTATTTTATGCACACCCCTGACAACTAGATTGATTAAAGGTGGCTAGGGGCCCCTTAGGGTGGTAAAAATATAAAGTTTGTTAGCTTTTAGGGGCCCCCCACTGGCCTGGGCCTTAAGCAACGCCTCTGGTTACCGTATTAATTTAAGAAGTTAAAAATATAATGCTCTTTATTGTGGAAATTACCGCACTGGTTGGTTAGGTTGTAAGAAAGGATAAAAGTGTTGCTTTTTACGAGGGGCACCTGAAGGCAACAGCAAGACATTCTGTCAATCGTCGGTCGGCGTCGGTCACCTGACTCAAACTCCGAGTCACGTGACTGTTATTCCATCCTCGCCATTTTGCAATGTGGGAGAGAGAGAGAGAGGGGCCACTTTTTATGGCTAACGAATAAAAGAAAGCGGTTTATGTGCTGAGGACAAAGAGCGCCAAACTTCTCCGTGTCCGTGAGTATATTTTTATTTCCACACACCTTCGCGCTCCTCCGTTACCCATTAACCACAAGCAGCACGGACGCGTCCTTGTACATTCATGTGTTTCTCTGCTAGCAGTGTGTGAGACTCGTGTGTGTGTGTTTGACTAGCAGGCTGTGAGGCTAGCAGCGGAGCTAACAGCGTGTGCCAGGATCCTTTTGACTTTTCCCATTTTTTTTTAAACGTGAAAGTGTTTTTGTAGCATGAAGGCAGCAGCAGTGTGTTGGCTCACATCAGCGGGTAAAAGGCTGCTTTTTGTGTGAGAGCTCACACTGAGAGGCTGTGTGCAACTTCGTCCTACAGGGGAGTGAAAGTGGATGGAATATTTTTAGATCCTGACATAACAGGTGCTCATCTGAGACGGGTTAAAGCACATGATGGAGTCCAGAGAGAAGCTGACTG